TATGAAATAGAAGTAGAAATCAAGGACATAAATGATAATGCGCCCAGCTTCCAAGAGGCAGAAACAGAGCTCAGAATGATCGAGACCACAGCCCCAGGGTCGCGGTTTCCCCTGCCAGACGCACATGACCCGGACTGGGACCGGAATTCCGTGCAGAGCTACGAGCTGAGCGGTGACGAGCACTTCTCGCTGGCCGTGCAGGCGGGCCCCGGCGGCGATCAGCGTCCCGAGCTGGTGCTGGCCAAGGCGCTGGACCGGGAGGAGGTGGCGTTTCACGAGCTGCTGCTGAGGGCGATGGACGGCGGCGATCCGGCACGGACGGGCACGGCTCGGATCCGTGTGACCGTGGTGGATGCGAACGACAACGCGCCCGTGTTCAGCCATGCGGAGTACACGGTGCGTGTGCCCGAGGACGTGCCCGTGGGCTCTGTCCTCGTCACCGTCACGGCCGCGGATGCTGACGAGGGGCTGTACGGATACGTGAAATATTCATTGAAGAAAATAACCGAAAAAGTCACGAAGGTATTCCATCTGGACGTCAACACAGGAGTCATCAAGCTATTGCGTAGCCTGGACTACGAGGAAGGCGACTCCTACGAACTGGAGGTGCAGGCACATGATGGCGGGGGCCTTTTCGACACGGCAAAACTTACGGTGACTGTAACAGACGTCAATGACAACGCACCCGAACTCACCGTGACGTCGTCATTGAGTGAGATCTCTGAAGATGCGCCATCGGGAACTGTGGTGGCTCTGCTGCACGTGCAGGACCGAGACTCAGGAGCCAACGGCGAGGTGCGCTGCACGCTGGACAGCGGTGTCCCGTTCCGGCTGGAGAAATCCCTTGAAGACTACTACCGTGTGGTGACAGCGAGAGAGCTGGACCGGGAGCAGGTGTCGGAGTACAACGTGACGGTGCGGGCGGCCGACGGCGGGTCGCCGGCGCTGCAGAGCAGCGCGGTGCTGGCGCTGCGGGTGCTGGACGTGAACGACAACGCGCCGGTGTTCGCGGAGGAGCGGTACAGCGCGCGCGTGGTGGAGAACAACGCGGCGGGCGCGCTGGTGCTGACGGTGCGCGCCACGGACGCGGACTGGGGGCAGAACGCGCGCGTGCGGTACCGGCTGGCGGAGGGGCGGGTGCGGGGCGCGGCGCT